CCTCGGCGTCCGGGTCGCCCAGGGACCGCCGCGCGCGGCGGAGGGTCACCTCGGCCAGGGCCATCCACGCCGCGGTGGGGTCGAGCGAGCCGACGGCCCCGGCCTCCCGCCACGCCGCCGTCGCCATGCGGGTCGTCAGGACGGAATGCGCCTTGTCCAGCCGCCCGGCGTGGCTCAGCCGGGCGGCTTGCAGGAGTACAAAAGGGTACTCCCCGTAGGCGTCGCCGCAGCGGGCGCAAATTTGCAGGCCCCAACGCACCCCGTCGTCGACGCTTTCGTAGTCCCTGAGGTGGAGGGCGGCGTTGGTGTAGTGCTGGAGGGCTCGGCACCAATACGTGTGCGGAAGGACGGTGAGATAGCGAGGTTTGGCGTGCAATCGCGACAGATAGGCATCCGGCGCGTCGTCGTTAGTCGGGTCGAGCAAGGTCGGATAGGACGACTCCCGGTTCACATCAAGTTTGATCTTCACCACCGAGCGCTTTCGCGGCGTTTCGTCGGCCACATTCGGGTGGGTTTTGGAGGATTCGATGAGATGCTCGTGGAGCATCGCAAAGGCCGTTCGGTACTCCCCGTAAGCCTCCCGAACACACGCCAACAGCACAATACTTTGATAGCGCAGATACGTCGCCTCGCATTCTTGGAGCCGCATCTGTTGTTGTCGTCGCCTTTCGTCGTTGCTTTTGCTGAGTTGATCAATCGATAGGTCGGTTTTATTCTGGAGGTTGGATTTGCTGTTTAGGCCGCGTCTCATCGCTTTATTCGTTAAGTTGCTGAGGCTCGGGATGGATAGGCTGGAGGGTACGCTGCGCTGGGAACCCTTCCACTCCGGGGTTTGGGTCGTCGCGGCAGGATCGCCGCTGGCGGCGAAGTTCATCAGGGCGCTCAGCAGATATTCCGCCGCGAGAAGGGCCTCCGTGCAGGCCGAAGAAGGGGTTTTGTACGTCTCCACACCGGTGGTGCTGCGGTGACGCAGCAAGGCGAGACTGTTCACGCTGTTCGAGGCTTTACTGCTTTCCTTTGCACTCCCGGTGTAGCGTGTGAAGGACGATATCGGACGCACCACCGTCGTGTTCGAGCCGTTTCCAGAGATCGTGTTCTCACCTCGGTTCGACTCAAACGGCCAGACGAAGGCGGCTTCGCGACCCCCCAGCTCGACCAGCACCTCCGCCACGGTCAGAATGATTCGGCGGGCTACGAACGAACCCACCACCTCGCAAACGGCCTCCTCAAGAAGACTGAAGAGAGATGCCAGGCGCTGGGACTGGGATGCAGAAGCCGCCGCAAGAGCCAGCGCCACGGTGGAGAAACTCTTCAAATTATGAGAGGCCGTGCTGACGCTGGGGTTCGACCGCGTCGCCGTGGAGCTCGAATCCTCGGAAAGCTTGGGAAAGCACAGGGTCAGAAAGCAGGCGATGCTGGCGGTGTTGTGCGGGCTCAACGGGGATTCGTCGTTGTGGTAGAGAAGCCCCACCGCGGCCTGGTACTTTCGCTGGTGCAGCATCATGTCTTCAGTCAGGAAGGACGCGACGGCAGCCTCTGAGCCACCCCGTGCGGAGCTCCCGTCTTTGAAGTGCGGGTTGGCGCGTCGGTCGGGGGCCATTTGGTGAGACCCGGAGCCCATCCCCGCGGGGGGCGTGCCGTTCTCGGTTTCCACCAGCGAACTCCGCGAGGTCGTTTCCATGAACAGGTGGAGCGGCACCGAGGGCAGCGCCTCGCCGCGGCAAACCCTCACGAGGGTCCGCATGGCCGCGTGGAAATTCCCCACCCGCGCGGCCGCCCGCGCGCGCAGGAGCCGGGCCTCGACCGCGGTAGGGATGCTCAGCAGATAACGAATCGCGAAGCATTCCGCCACGGATGCCGTCATGGCCGCCAAGACCCCGTAGTGCGCGTGTTCGAGGAGCTGGTGGGAGGTGAAGAGCAGATGTTTGACGATCTCCGGCATCCACCGCCGCATGGTCTCCGGAAGCCGCGCCGACCACTCCACGATGGCGTTCAGATTAAACTCGATGAACCCCACCTCCTGGGTGGGGAGGTTGATGGAGGACGCGGA